CTAAAATCATTTCCCTTTAGAAAAATATAGTATGAGTAATTTTGGTGGATGGCTGAATAGTTGAAAATTTAAAGTTTTAAATTTAAAATTTTAATTTCAAATCGTAAATTAAGTAAAAAAAGATTTAAAATAATAGAATTACTCCTTTTTATATAACACCTAATTAGATATACAAAAAAAAAATAGAAAGAGTGAATCACAATCATTGTTATATTTCATAAGACAAATATTGTTTTATTTATAGGAATTTTTTTTATTTTGTATCTTTAAATATATTTTTTTATTAATTTATATTAGAAAAATAAAAATTGATTTTTAATTTATCAATCATTTAATTCAATTCATCAATCTAATAATGATATTAAAATTAATGTTAATTTTTAAATTTTTATATACATTTATATAAAAGAAGTGCCCTAAATACAAATTAAAAAAAAAACCGCAATTTTTTTCCCGGTTATTATTGCCATATAAGATGAAATACTTTAAAGTTAGACTTAATTTGACAATACTGCATGGTACTGTCCTATAGTTATAATTGCTAGAAATGTTGTGTTACATTGTCACGAAAAGTATTTTAGTGTTTGGTAATTAAATTTTAAAACAATTATTTATTATAAAATTACTTAATTAGATACATTATTATTTAAAATTAAATTAATTAATAATTTAATATATAATGTATGAAAAATAATTTGAGAATTTTATTAGATTATTTAGGAATTTTATTAATTTTGAATAAGATAATTTTTGTATACTTTTCTAAAATGATAAAAATAAATAATTTACCAAACATATAAATTACAAAAAATTCTACAAAAAAAAATACTATAAGTAACATTATCAAACTAAGCCTTAGTGGGTTGGTTATTATGAATAATGAGGTTTCGTTTGTTGTGATTGATGTGTTTTTGAATATATACTTTGATTCAAGAGGCAAGCCATATCATTAGATTCATTACTAATCTCTTAAATTTGTTAATTTTTCGTTTGAAAACAAATAATTTAATGGGTAATACTTATCTTATTTGTCTAATCGGTAAACCATGGATGGGACAATCTGTATGTACTCATAACACTAATCAAGCCACCTCTTTTAAAGGCTTGTTTGGTCGGTTGATTATCTCTTAGTCAAATTATAAAAACAAGTCAAAATTAAAAACTTTTCATAAGAAGTTAATAATGGTTAAGTTTAAATTTTTTTTTTTACATTAGTTAATAATTAAGAAATACATATTCCTGATCCATCCTTTAGTTTAATAGAAAATTATCAACATTAATATTTGATTATCCTTAAGAAAGTTTATCAAATTTATCATTTTTTTAAATTTGACCAATGAATAGTAACTATCACCAACCAAACATGTCCTAAAGTTTAGACAATTTTAGGTACATTAGACAAAATTCTTTAGTTACATTAATTGTGTATTAATATTTTATTAAGAACTTTAAGAGTTAAATTTATTAATAAGTAATTGTAATCTTATAAGTTAAATTAAAAGTTTAAATTTTAAAATAAACATATAAAAAAACTTAATTTTATTAAGTATATAACTATTAAACGTTAAGAGTGCCGGATTAAAATCATACATTGAGAAGCAAGTTTCATAATATGCACAAATTTATATGTACCAAATATATATATATATATATGCACAAATTTATGTTAGGGATATATCATCGTCCAAGAAAATTGTGCTCATTGGTAATTTCGTATTAAAATTGTTCTTTAATAATATTGTGATCCCAAATGAAAGTGACATGTGATTTTGGATAAAATTTAAAATTTCTTTATAAATATTTTCTCCATCTATTAGCATCATCATTAGCTTGAAATTATTTCTTTTAGACCAAGCAAAGGGTAAAAGTCTTGCAAGACTTAAGGTCACAAATCATGGAGAATATGGGTTGTTCAAAGTTCAAAGTTCAAACACATAATGAATTAATCGATTTGATTGTGTTTGATGGGATTTAGCTAAGTTTGGAACAAAATAGCAATAGTGCTTTTCACCATACTCTGAAGAAGTATACAAAGAGAATCCATTGGTGTTCAATTTGTTTTAAGAAATGTGTAAATCCAGCGGTAATTTTGCAGCATCATAAATAATAATGGCTACCTTCCATATGGTTTTTTAACTTATATTTTTTGCAATAGAGTTTACTTTGCGATTCAATACAATAATAATTTTCACATTTTTGTTTGTTAGTTAAAAAAAAAAAAAAAAAGAGATCCAATGTTCAAAATTTTTAACTGACCACCTAAATAGTTCAATAGTAATTTTTTTATTAAAAGTAAAAGATTTTGAATTTAAATTACATAACATGTAAATGAAGTAAGATAAAAAATAAAAAAAATTATCTCTTATTATGCAATTAATATAAAAATATACATATTCAATTTTTTCAACGCTTGTGATAAAATTTAGGTAGAAAGTAGGAGATACGTTTGAAAAAAAATATGCTTTTATTGCATAATATTTATATATTTTAGTGCTCAAAAATCAAAATAATGTTACGGAAAGAATATTGTCCTTTTTAGCTGTGTAGTTTGACTGAAACAGGAATGTTTCTCAATTGGAATCTCAATAACTCAAGCGTCTCATTTCTGTTTATGTCAAAGGGATTGGTTGAAGGCAATCATGACTATGGATACACAACTAATGCAAAATTCAAAGATGTGCAATGTATTTGTGCTTCTGTTTTCTGCCTTGGCTACCACGTTTTCTCTAGATTATTTACAAGTTATAAATTTTGGGTTAAACCCTCAATTTAGTCCCTCAACTACTATACAGATCATTGGTTTGATCCTTAAATTAAAAAATCTATGATTTAGTTATTATTGTTTACTATTTTGAATCCAAGTTGCTCATTTCATATAAAAATAATAGATGTATTTTGTTATTAATGTGTCACGTAACTATTAAGTAATGTTTTCCTGTCTTTAAGTAACAGATATGTCAGTTATTTTTTAATAGAAAAACAAACTTGGGATCAAATTGATAAATAATAGGGATGAAATCAAAATTTTTTTAGTTTAAGGACTAAATCAAGGGTTTATATAATAGTTGAGGGACAAAATTGAGAATTTAACCTAACTTTTAATTTTCCAGGATGATGTGATCACTTTTGCTTGATGAGCTGGTTCATGAAACACATGATGAGTCTAAGGTTTGAAACTGGAGATCTGTTCTAATTGGATCCGACACCACATTCATATTTCGTACGTGAAAAACGCGTTGTCAACGTGAGAATGAGTGTCCCTTCATTCAAAGTAATTGACCATTGGGTGATCTTGTCAAAAACAGGATTCAGAAAAATTAAAAAAATTTTTAAAACTAGGTTCCGGTGTGGATACTCAATCTCAACTCCGGCGAAGCTAGAGCCGCCTGAGGGGCCAGGCCACCCAAAACTTTGTTAAAACAAGTACATTGATTCATTAAGTTTTCATTTCATTATTGTTTACACCTAATTTTACAACAAATGGAGTGCTGTCACGTGTCACCCATGATGGCAGATATTTTAGTAGTTGAAAGTTGGTGTGGATTTCTTCAGATGAGATTGAGTTGTTATTTTCACAACGGCAGCAAAACCGTTCTTTTGTTGCGAGCTTCCCGGAGGATAATTGCAGCACTAACAAATTAATCAATTTGTTGCAGATATTATGCTGCTGCTGGTCTTTTAAGATGCTGCCGTAGATCTCCACCATGCTGCCAAGATGCTATAAATACCTAATTATAAGATCAAGCAAAGGATCGACATCTCACACAACAGACTCAGCACAACTTCTCTTTATACTCAGATTCATCTTAGTTTCAAGCCCTTTAATTTAATTTTAGCTCTACACTTCAACCTAGATTAGTTTAGCAATTCGGTTCTTCTTTTATCGAATTTGTAATGGTGAGTTTCGTTGCCTTCAGTAATATTTCTTTGTAATCGGATTGCTTCCTTTCCTTTTTATTTGTTTTCCCAAATTTCCTTTAATTTAATCAAATGATGTCGACATTTAATTTTATGTTCAGTTCCATTTCCATTAATTTACATTTCATGCTGCAAGTAGATTTTTCATGCTTTGGGTTTTATTTACTTTAACTTTATTTACTTTTGCTGCAATTAAATTTCCTTTTAAGGTTCTGTTTCAATTCAGTTTGCGTATTTAAAGTTCATTTAGATTTTCAGTAATTTAGCGATCATTTATTTACCTTGCAGTCTTAACTTTTCTTGATTACATTAGCTTTTAGGGGTCCTTGGAATCATATCCAAGGCATTTTGTCGTATAACCCATTTAGTGCAGGAAGTTCATCCCTCGTTTCTACCAATCGTCTGATCTTTAAGATGCAATTCACGACGTTCTTCCATCAACTCACAAGTAGAGTTCCACGCTTGGAAAGAAGAGAGGGTCGTCAGAGAAATCTTTCTTGTTTTGAGCAAAGCAAGTGGCACGCCATTTTATCTGTCACGTGTCAAGGAGATTTTTTGGGATAACAATTATATTTATTTTTATTTTTAATGGTATGTTTGGTTTGAAGAAAATAAAAAGAATATGAGGATTTTTTAATTAATCAAATTATAATATTTTTTAATATTATAATTTAATTAGTTAAAAAATCTTATACTCTTCTCAATTTCTCTTAAACCAAATATATTATAAATTTTTAAGTAAAAGAATAAAAAGAAAATTAATTCCACTTAATTACTTAAAAATTACCCAATAACAATACATTTAAGGCCCAAACTAAATGGACCTAAGTTTGAAGTCTTTTTAATTCTTGGCAGCCCTAAATCCTCCAATCTTTCCCTCTATTGGCCCCCACTCCTTTTTTTTTTCCCCCTTTTCTTCTCTTTTCTTTTTCTTCATATTTTATCATTTTAAAAAAAAAAGTTTCCGAGACAAAGTACAAGAATAAAGTACAATTCTCAAAGAATCACGAAGTCTAATCTTCTGTGAAAATCATTAATGAATATTTAGAACCACTAGAAACAGATAAAATCCAGTCCTTGCTTTTTTTAGAGCCATTGGTTCTTTTATTGGCTCCCCATGTTACCTTGTTCCCATATTCCCGAAAAGGTATGATGGGAAATCAAGCAGCATGGTTCTTTTTGCCAATATGGAGTACTTAACTTTTTTTAAAAAGTATCATCTGCTCTTTCACTACAGATTAATAATTCTTCATGGGATACAACTACTTGTAGTTTTATAATACATTAGAGACAGACTCTTTCTAAATTTAGTACCTCCAAAATCACATGTCCACTAATTGGAAATAGTTTTATAATCCCAACAACAGTCCTGCTTTCAAAATGCTTTTTGGTTATTTCAATTCAATTACTCTATTATATATTTATACATCTTTTTTTATAATTTATATATCTTTTTATTTTTAAGAAATTACATTATATATTTGCTTTTATAATTGTATGATAAAAAATAATTAGTAGCAAATATTATGTAACTAATAGTATTAATTAGGGTGCACATCGCAGACCATATACCTTGTTATTTTTATTATTAAAAATTGAATTTATAATTTTTTTGGTGTGAGAGTAAATAATAAAGAAGAAATTTTCCTATTTGAGTAACAAAAAATTACAGGAGAGGATTGGAGAAGGGAGGAGATTTCCATATTTTACTTTAATCCTCTCGTGAAAATGGAAGAACCCTATGTTTCCCCCAAACTAAGAAGTTTTTTTAGTTTAAATTGTACTTTAAATATATAAATTAACATTAGAGAAAAGTATTATTTATATTAAAAAAATATTATATAATCTAAATTATATAATTTTAACTATTAAATAAAAATTAAACCCATTGATGTCAAGAACTCTTGTCATCTAATAATTTTTATTTTATTCTCTAATGCCATCAAAGTTTCATTTATTATTATTTTTTATCTTGATTATATAATGAGAGGTAACTATCTCTTATTTTTTATTTCATGTCATTTACATTTATCTATCATGTGACTCGAATTCAAAATGTTTTATTTAAAAAAATAATAATAATAATAACGAGTTAGTGCGTCATTAGCTCCTTTTATTATTTATTTATTTATTTTTGTACCTCAAAGTACGAAGAGAAGTGTTATTAAGAGTAGATAAATTGATGGTAGTACTTAACGATAAATTATTCCTTCCTGTCAAACAAATTTCCAGCTCTAATAGTACTTTCCTTCAAGAGCAAAAATAAATTCTCCTTGCATTCTGTTTTGGTAACAGAGAAAACGAAGGAAATTTTCCCATGGAGGGAGGGACAAGAGGGTGAAAGATGGAAAGTTGCCATGTCTCTTGGGTATGCAGAGAAGCTCTCTTACATGGAAGATGTGGGAAAAGTTGGAATGGCAGAGTTCTTTGACTTATCTACCGTGTTGCAAGAAAAAGTGAGGCTTTTGCGTGTTTCTTAAGCTGTTACTTTGTTTTTGTTGTTGATTATTATGTGGTAGTTTCTGTGCTTCTGCTTGGTGGATTTGCTCTCAAATTGAAAATGTGTTGTTTGATATGATCCATTATCTGGGTATTGGCACCAAGATTAATTAGGGATGGGATTGTGTTTTGAATAATTATTTAGATTTTATACCTGTACTTGGTGAAATTTGGTTTAGAATTGCAAACTGTGTTGTTTGATATGATTGCAGTATATTATGCTTAATTAGAGATGGGTTATTTACTTCTTTTGGGACTTTGATGGTTTTGGCTGAAATATGTGTTAAGTGATTGTTTTATGATTGAATTTTTATTAGGTGAAGATTTTGTTATACGCTTAGCTTCATTTGCTAATGCTTTCTTAATTGGTTCTACCTTTTAAATGGCAGATTGAACAACTTGCAAAAATAATACAGAAGGTTTGAGCTATTCTGTCTTGTAATTGTTGCCCAATGATTGCTTATATTTGAGTTTGTAGCAATCATCCTCTTTGTAGTTTTTTTTTTGGTTCTACTTGCAGAGTAAGCATCTAGTGGTGTTTACAGGTGCAGGAATATCAACTTCTTGTGGTATACCTGATTTTCGAGGGCCTAAAGGAATATGGACTTTGCAGGTGAAGAGAATGGCCTAATACTGAGATATTATCCAATGAAGAGTTAGTGGGTTTTAGTATTACAATCTAAGTGGAAATTGGCACTTTTAGTCATCTCATATTCTCTACCTTTTCCTTTCCTTTTCTCAAAGATGATTGGTTGAATAAGATCTTGCGTTAGTACTTTTTAGTTTCTACCATGTCTAATAAGTTCAAAACAAAAGCAAATTTTAATTTTCTGAAGAAGTTACCTGCTATTGCCTGTTTCTGAATAGAGAGATATTTATAGTGTTAGCTCCTTAGATGGTTCTTCTGATTTTCATTTATTGGTTGCAGCATGAAGGCAAATCCTTACCTGAAGCATCATTACCTTTTCATGGTGCAATGCCAGGCATGACTCATATGGCTTTGATTGAATTAGAAAAGGCTGGCATTTTAAAGTTTCTTATTAGTCAGGTAGCGTTCACTCATTCTTTAGCCATTTGTTTTATATTTTCTTTTTTTGTGAAGATATTTAAGTTCAATGTGTTTAAATGATGCTAATCTAGTTTTCCTTGTTAATATATGTAACATCCTGTTGCAATATTTTGAGCCAAATAAGTCAATACCTGTTACTTCTCAAATTTCTAGAATGTTGATGGCCTGCATCTCCGGTCAGGAATTCAGGGGAGAAACTTGCTGAATTGCATGGGAACTCCTTTATGGAAACTTGTCCTGCATGTGGAGCCAAGTAAGACATCATATATTTAGTATTAGCATCCTATATTCATATTTCATTTCAAAGCCAAAAAGCGATATTCTATTACATTTTAACCATTACTCATATGCCTCATCATTTTCTAACATATGTCTACTATTGAACTTCTGAAGGTACTTGAGAGATTTTGAGGTGGAAACTATTGGATTGAAGGACACATCAAGGCGTTGTTCTAATGCAGATTGTGGAGTCAAACTTAAGGATACAGTTCTTGATTGGGAGGTACTTAAATGTTTTCCTGTTTTGTGTTACTTGGATTTGTCAAAATTAGTTAGTATCTTATTATTTCAACAATCAGTTTGTTTATGTTGCGAAGACAATCTCTTGTTATTAATTTATAAAAAGAGAGGATTGATCTAATCTTCTTTATTGATTTCATAAGAAAGTACTCTCAAGTTCCAAGTCATGACCCCAAATTCTTGGCTAGGAGTTACTCTTGTTCTTTTACCCTGCAGGATGCCTTGCCCCCAGAGGAGATGAATCTGGTTGAGAAGCACTGTCGGATGGCTGATGTTGTACTATGTCTGGGAACTAGGTGAGATGCTGTTTCTAAACTTAGCATTGCCGTTATATATCTGGGGGTGGGGGATTCTGATCCACAAGCTCAGCTGCCCATGATTAATATAATCTGTGGCGGTCTTTTTCCCTTTTTAGGTACATGGAAACATGCCATTGTCATTATGATGCAAATAATTCAGTCAGTGTATTAGTGTATAACCACTCTCTGCAGTTTGCAGATAACAATTTGCCTCTTAAATGTTTACACGGTGGGGGAAAGATTTTAATTGTGAATCTTCAGGTATTCTGTCTTTGTTTACAGTTTATTTGCATTGTCAGATATTTATGAAATACCTATTACTCAGTTTTTGTTCCATGTTAAAGCTAAAGATTAAGCCTATTCAAAGCTATAGTGAATTAGTTCTGTCAAACCTGACATAAGAAAATTATTGAACTTCTGCTGCTTAGACTAATGTATCATGGTCAGATCCGGCAACTTAAGTTTTATAGAAAAAAAGAAGGAACAAACTTATTAAAGTTCCTGGTATTTTTCTAAATTAACACCCTCTGCTGGGGGAGAAAAAGATCCAT